CCTGTCATCAGGGAATCGTAGACACACTTTACACAAGGCTACATGCTGCTCCCCTTGCAGTTCATTATGATAGTAATAAGAATAGAAGGAACCTACAACAATCACCTGGTGCAACTGCCTGACCACTTCAAGGCTGAGCAAAAGTTAAAGCACGTTATTAAGGGCCCTGAATGTCTCAAACGCTGACAGGCTTGGGGCATTGACTGCCTGTCTAGGAGGCCTATTGCAGTGTTTGACCACCCTGTTAGGCAGGAAGTGCTTCCTAATGTCCAGTCTAAGCCTCCCTTAATGCGGCTTTGCCTGCCACAAGTTTGCTCTGTGATCTTGAAGGAGCATGTACAGTCAGAGGTTTAAAATGGGACCAGTGATGTTGGATGCTTTGTGTGTTGTTGGGTTTGTCAAAAGCTGCATTTGAAAGATACATGCTGCTGAGAGCACCAGTGTCTTCATCTGTGAAATGGGACAGTAACATCTTATCCCACTTGATGTGTGTGGCAGCTGTGTTGTAGGTACCAGGTGGGAGGGTGTCACAAGTGCGACAGAGTAAACCACCCACAGTGGATCTGGGCACTTGGTTTAATTTAAAAACCAAGATTGGATTTTTCAGCCTAAAAGATTATGTCACACACTGACTTGCCTACTCACTCATCTGGACTGACACAGCAACAGTAATAAATTCAACAGTGAAAAAAGTGCAAGGCTTACTTTTGGCTGTGTTTTATCTCCATCTCACCTAGAAGTGATATGTGACTTAAAGCATTACATGCTTCTGTTACTTTCCTGCCATTTTAATGAGGCAATTGTATCATAAAAACACATGTTGTTTCTGACTGAGGCGTAGTTTGAGAGATGTAACAGCTGGTCTTTATCCAGGCTCTGTACCCCATTGTCAGTGCAGCCTGGAGGAGTTCAGGGAAGCTGGAAAAAAAAAAAGTGTACAAGCACTGATGTACCCAGTGCATTTTCAAATCAGTTACATGCAAAGATGGGATCATGTGAGAAAATATACTCCCGCCTTAAAGTTTCTGTGACTAAATAAAAGAAATCATTTCTGTCAGTTCTGAAGCTGTCAGTCTTTCCCCAGGCTGTGCATTTCCTTTAGCTTAGATGACTGACTTTTCTTAATGCAAGAGCCTTTACATGAGCACTCGAGTCTTGGCTAGTGGTTATGTGAATGGCAGATGACAGCAGTTGGCAAATGTAGGTGATATTTCTTATGTAAGTCAGCAGAATTGGTCTATAGGTGCAGCACAGTCTATAGGTTAAGCACAGGCTTTGTGTGAGGTGTAAGACTAACACTGGCTAATAACACGGGATCAGCAAACACCACAGACGCACATTAATTTAGATCTCCAGATTAAGAGAGTACTCAAGAAAAATTTACTTGTTACCTTGTCTTTTAAGTTCACAGGAGTCAGGGTAGAAATCTTGGCTCTGTGACAGTATTGCCCTTGGCTTTACCAGAGCCTGGGATTTTCCCTTGTCTTCTCAGATTATAAACCTGCAGACTCCAGTAGTTGTGCTGCTGGTGTGAAATGCCAATCTACAGAAAATGTCTGCAGCCTAAAAAAAGGAAAATAATTCAACTTTCTTTGGGTTGGTTTTCTTTGTTTGTTTGTTTGGGATTCTTTTTGTTTGGGTTTTTGTTGTTTTTCGTTTGTTTTGAGGGAAGGGAGTGTTCTTTTGGTTGGTTGGTGGTTTTCTTTGGTTTTTCTACAAGAGAAATTCCTATTTCGGATGGAGCTACCAGCAACCCTAAAGGTATTTTTTCCTTCAGTGTTACTTTATTTCTCCCCTCGGGTCTTTGCATGTCTAGCTATTGCATATTGCTGCTTAGAGAGACTGTGGAGTTTCCTCTGGAGAGACTCAAAAGCCATCTGGACACAATCCTGAGTAACATTTTTTACTAGGGGACCCAGACTGAGCAGGGAGGTTGGATTAGATGGGCTCAGGGGTCCCGTCCAAGCTCAGCCGTTCTGTGATTGTGTGAATACCTCATGACAGAGGAGAGCTGGTGCTATAATTCTGGTCTGCAGAATGAAGTAGTATTTGCTGTCTGATGAAAGAGCTGAAGATGTTTATAAAAACTATTTTTATAAGTAATTATATTGACACGTTTAATCCCAATATTTAAAATGTCACAGCTCCTTTTTTTTTTTTTTTTAAAGTCCTTTTATTGTTGAATGGATGTAGTTAGTCAGTGCTGAGGAATCTACCTGGATGTGCTTCAGTGCTCTGCAGGTGATTGTTTTCTATAGTGCCCTTCCTATGTCAGCTATCACTGGTATTTGTGAAGTGCTGCTGTTGCTGCTAGCAGGTTACGCCTTAGTTTGGGGATTTGCAATAATGTTTTTCTCAGTTCAGCAGCTGTATCAGCAGGTAACCCACTTCTTGGTTCGTTTAGTCTTGCTCAGATCAGGTCTGACGCTTTTCAGTTTGGTTTGGTGTGTGGGTTGAGTTTTTTTGCTTGTTTCTTTTAATGCTAACTGGTAAACCAAAATCCTTTTTTTGTTGTTGTTTTTCCTTGTTGAATGGAGTAGAGCATAATGATGACTTAAGCCAGACCTTTAAGATGCTCAGCTTGCCAGGTGGGACACCTGAATCATTAGGCTGTACATAATTATTAGGTTATTCATGACGATTTATTATTTACAGAGTGAAACTGTGTAAAACCAGAGAGATCAAGAACTTGACACCTGTCTGTGCTATCCCTGCCAGTACCTCCAGCCCAGTACTTAGCACAACCCTGTTGCTTGATGTGAGTGTTTCTTTTCTGAAAAGTCCTTTCACAGCAATTCCAAACCAGATTCTTTGGTGAGAAGCACTTGCGCTGACAGTCCCTTTTTACCAATGTTTTTCTAATTCACAACTAAAATATAGTTAGAAATATGATCTGTAGAGTAGTAAGAATATATAACACAGTTGCTATGGTTGAAGAAAAATTTTTATACTGCTGCTCTTTTCCTATCTGAGGGGTTTCAGAGCTCTTTTTCAGAGCTCAGACAACATTTTATAATTTATAACCCTAGCAACCTTGCTGGGGTGATGATGTCTGTCTCCTGAGCAGTTAGAGGACAAATACATCACTGCCTGCATGAAGATGCAGACTGTGAGTGGGCAATGAGGCCAGTCTGCCCAGAGTATCACTTACAGTGGATTAATCAGTGGGGCAGTGTACTCATTTGACTCTGTGGGCTGCTCTGGGTTTGCAGAAATGTTTCCTTTGCACTGTCTATGGGGCTGCCAGGTAATCTAAGATCATCCAACAGATGTGTTACAGGAATTACAGCTACAGCAGGTGTTACTGCAGTTACAGATGTAACTGAACCCATGTTTGAACTTAGATGTGTCAGCTGCCTGAAGAAGGGACCATTCAAATGCTTTCCACTACAGTGACAGAAATGATAGTTGGTCCGAAGAGTGGGAAAAATAGTTTCATCCCTTGCTGAAACTGGAAAATGAACTTCTTTGTATGGGAAAGAAGAGAATGGCAGGTCAGATGTTGTGGGGACATTTGGAATATTTTGCTGAACCTGGTTTCCTTTAAAAATACAGAAGAATATAAAATCAAGTTCACTCTGCGGGGAATTATGCTCAAGTGGTAATGTAGTATTTATATATTTTAAATATGTTGTGATACTGACTTACAGAAAGTTTTGTGGGGAATGCTGCATTTTTCATTGTTTGATCCTCTCATTGGTTCCTCTAGTTGTGGCTGTCTGTACACACCAGGGGAGCTCCTTTGCCTTCTAGATTGGTCACCCAAAGAGATTGACTCTTACCTTGTTTTGGAAGCTGCTGTGCATAGCTGATGTTAGCCATGTATGCTCAGCTTCCTCAGTACTACTAGTTTCAGTCCTTTTTAAAAAATATTAAATTAATTTTTTTATCAGGGCTATGGCAAATTTGCAGTGACTGTGGATATACCACAAGAGAGAGAGAACAAGGGAAAAGTGAATGGGGTTTACTTATAGGCATTAAAACCCCCCCATTCAAACAACACAATTCTAAAACTGCTGTGATTTGACTTTCAGATAAGTGGGCCAATCTCCAGTTTATGTTCCCTAGGCATCGTATAGTTTAGTCTGCATGCTTATGTGTTCTGAGATGTTCTTATCCTGGTGTGTTTTGAAATATTCATCTAGTTCAAAGGATTATTCACGTTAGCAAAAGTCTAACAAGACAGTTGGAAAATAGTTGGTATATCAGTTCCCTCTCTCGAGGTACAAACAGCTTTGCTAACTCTTAAGATGCTCTTCCTCTTCTGTTCCTTGGAGGTTTTATCACCAAAATTCTGTTTGGTTGGCTGTGCTGAGGTCACCACTGCACATGGGGGTCACAGCCTCTGTGAGGCTACTGGTCTTCAGCTAATTCTCTGTATTAGCAGCTTCACAGGGTTAGCTTGATAAACATTTTCTATTCCACTATTGTTCTTCCATCTAGGTTTTCATCAATCTTTGTTCCTCTCTTCAGTTTTTCCCCATGCTCCTTCCTTGTGCTGCCTGATTCCAAAATGCGTAGAGAGGCTCACAGTTTTATCCCTGTTTTTATCTGTAGCTTCTAATTTGGAGGTAAAATTCAAACCAACTTTTCCCCCCATGTTTTGCTTTCACTGATTATTCCACCTCTCATCCATATTAGTTGTAATTCTAGACATGCTGCTCAGTGTAACTATAAGGTGTGACATACAACAACTAAAAAAGTTGAGAGATTGTTGGCTTTATGGACTTGCTTTGGATTTACACCAACTTGAGTAAATGGCACCTGTTTCAGTCCTGAAGTGTATTAGATCTGCACCATTAGGATGATGCAAATGATAGTGGAGTAGATAGACCAAACCAGTGGGTTTTTCTGAATGTCTAAAAGCAGCTGTACCCAGCAGGATCTTAATTAATCAAGGGAGAATGCAGCTTCATATTTTCCAATAGTTTTGGGGAATTAGGAAAGGAAAATTCATCATGTGCTCCATCGTGAGGGACAGCTAATGCCTACAAAATATATTCCATTCAGCGAAATTGTGCAGCAGAGGTATTTCCTGAAAGTATCAGCTAACCTCCTTTTTGTCTTGCATGATTGTAACTGAGAGCAGAATCTAGATTAGTGTGTCAGTCTGTGAAGGGAATTTCCTGCTAGAGACCTTGAGAGAAAAAAAAAGAAGTGGAAAATAAGGAAAATTATTATGATGTTAGATCATGAGTTAATGATTTCTAAAATCTCAGCTCTGATGTACCTGTCTGCACTTTTACTTCTTGCTGGTCTTCATCCTGTGTATTCTTGACTAGTTCCCATTCAGCAAATATCTGTCAGGCATAATAATTTCAAGCATTAATCCTTACAGGAATTAACCAGCTTGTTAGTTGATGACCTGAACTAGATAGTTTATGGGGATTATTGCTATTTAAATCTCACCTACGTTTTAAGCAGAGGCAACATGCCCTGCTTGGGTTTCTTTTATTTCTTTTTTTTTATTTTTTTTTTCTGCACTGATGTAGCTTTGGATTGCCATCTCCTCTTTCACTCCCGCAGCACGGGAGGAGGCAGAGAGGAAGTCCTGTGCTTCCTCCTGCATTAGTAAGGAGGAAGCCACTGGTTTCTCTTCGTGCCAGACTTGCTCGTGCTGCCAGCTGTGCCGAATTGCTGCTCTAACACCCAGTGGATGCCGGGCTGGATTGTGGTTGCCATGCTAGGAACCCACCAGGGAGCTTTGATGGAATCACCACAGACTTTTACCTACCCTTTTTACCAGATTCCCCAGGATTTTGGTAAGGTTTTTGCAAGGTTACTTTCATTTCATAATGTAGTGAGATAGTTGTGACAGGCAATGTGTCTTTTGGCTCCTAAAAACTTTTGCACTCATTTTCTGCTTTGCGTTAGACAGAGACATAGAAGTGTTAAAAGTATCAAGTGTCTTGAGATGTCAAGGATTTGGATTCTAGTGAAAGAGGAAATAGAAGTCAGTGGCCTGCTGCAGGAAAACCAACGGTCCTGGCAGCACTCAGCTGGTGAAGGGTGCCAAGATCAGCCCATGCCCGCGCTTTTCTGCAGAGCAAGCCCTCGCCTCCCCTGCTGCCCGTGCCAGCACCACAGGGTGCTGGGGGAAAGGGTGGGAGAGCCTAGTACCATGAAATAAGGCCTGATAAATTGTTCTGTGAGCAGCAGGCCACGATGGGGAGCTCCCTGATGTAAGACAAGGAGAAAGGAAGACAAAATATCCCTGCTGTGGTGTGCACCAGAAGGGTTGGAGATAAGGGACAGTTGGTGAAGTTAATAGAGAGAGTCTGTTGGGAGCTGGGAGTGTGGCTGGCGCTCAAGACATGATATCAGCTTTTACACCCCCAAAATTTTTGCTGAACTGGGACTGCTGAGATCCTTTCCTTGAAGTGTGGGTTTAAGGTCACATATATAACTGTTGAAACATGACCTGGGGGTATGCAAGAGGTAAAAAAGGGGACTAAAGAAATTCAGATTTATTTTTTAACTAGGGAGCATAGTTTGCACAAGCACTATTGCTTATGTTGTGCTCATTGAACCCAAACAAGGTCATTGGAGGCTCTGCTCTGTTGTGCTTCAGCAATTGTCCTCGTCAGAGCTGGACATATTTTCCTTCAGGATCCTTTATGGATCAACCTTTTGCAAGGTACCTGCTGAGCCCTGATCTGTTAATTGAAAGTGGAGAAAAATTTCAGTGATATGAAACGCCTTTAAAATACAGCAGGTGTTTGTGGTATCTTTAGAAGATAGGCTTTGGAGACTAGTGGAGAGATATTTTTATTTCTCTTAGACCAAACCTGAGTTTGTGCCATGATGTCTATTACTCCTTGTAGAAGAATTATATAATACTCGGGTTAAGCAAATCTGTAGCTTTATAACTTTTTCTTCTTTCACGTATTTGAGAATAGGTAGTGCTGTGTCTGCTAGGTTGTGTACGAATCCTTGGCTGATATAGACCCCTGCTCCTCTAAATTTATCACTGTGTTAGCTCTCTGGCAGCCCCAGGGATATGTCCCATAATATTTAGGGTGGAATTTTCACGCTTGCTGAGAAGCAGCACGCCTTGAGGCCCCCTTGGGGTCCGAATGGAGCAGAGCTGCCTGATCCCTTCAGACGTTTGCAGGAAAAAAAGAGCTTTGGATTCTCATAGTACTCCATTTGTAAGAGGCAGTTACTAGTGGATGGTACGAGTGAGAAGGAAAAGCATTGGCTTTACTTGGGCTGCTCAGCACGGTAATTATCTGTAATCACAGCTTTAAATAACTCTCTGGTCCTCCTCACTGGGGGATGACTGCTGACAAATGCAGCTCACTGCTGGGTCCTGCTGCCATTTTGCTCTTTGCTTGAGGTTTGATGAATCTCGGTAGGAGGAAGTTCAGATCCCCTCTGTGTTTATAGACTACAGGACTTCAGTCCCTGATCAGGCATAAAAGACTGCTAGGAAGGCGTTCCTGCCCTGGTTGTGAAGTCCTGAGTGATCAGAGCGCTGAGTCCTGGCAGTCCTGGGCTGTTCCAGCCGTCTGGAGGGTCTGTGCAGCTGAAACCAGATGTGGCTGTGCTCTTTAACCCACAGTGCGTGGCGAGCTCACTCTGTGGGAGGGTGACAAAGACGTGGAAACTGCAATAGTTCAGGCAAAAATGAGTCACGAGAAATCAGCCTGTTTAATTCAATTCCAAAAATGTTCTCAACCACTCGAAATTAATTTATAACCAGTATTTTGCAGTGGTCTGCTTTTGTTTCTTAGCTGGGGAATGAGGTTGCTGACAATTCCAATAATGTATTTTGTTTGGGACACAGTCAGGCCTTGTTTGCCTGTGGGTTTCTCTGAACACAAACCAGTGCTGTTTTGCAATATAAAGCCTGGCATTATCAGATTAATGCAAATATTACTTTTAATTATGTACAGAGTGCTGACTGTTTAGGTATAGCTATTTACTGTTTAGGTAAAGCCTCCTGTATGTTCTTGACAGCATTTCAAATGTTCATCTCTTTCAGGGGTCGTTTTTCTCTTTCTTTATATAAACAGATCTTTCTGTTCCATGCAAATTAAAATCTGCTAATTTTTCCCTAACCATATGCTTTGATCCCAAGAAAATAACTCTTAATCAACAGCTTTAGTATCTAAAATTAGTATTGTCCTACTTACTACTTTTTTTTTCAATTCCATAAGTCTCACTTTTGCTGTATAAATATATCATTAGCATAATTGAACTGATAATGTTTTGAGAGATATATCTGAGAAATCTTGTTTTGGAGAGTTAGTCTTTCAGCTGTTCTAAATGGGACAAAAGACCTGTGCCCTTAGAGCATACTTGCAAAGTACTTGCAAGTGACTTTGTTTCTAAAAAATATTTCCAGTATATACTTGACTCTAAAGATTTATTAGTTTAAAAGCCATGTGCTTAGTGCTCCAAGTTACACACTCAAAGGTGAAATAGTCAAAAGATTTTCACACTGATCTTGTAAGGGGAAAAATTGCATGTGTAAAAACCCCCCAGATCCAAATGTGGAAGCAGTGATGCAGAATAGGAAAGAATACAGACTTGCAGACAGATTGACATCCTGCAGCCCTGAGCATTCATATTACAACTGTAGGCTGCTTCAGAACACAGAATTCCTGAAGAAGGTGAATTATCCCACCTCTGGTGTGGTTCCTTGCTGGAAATGCCCCTCTCTCGCACTGACTCCCAAAGGAATCACAGGGCTCCTACTGCAGGGTGTCCCACTGACAGCCTGTGGTTCAGTGTGAGGTCCAGCCCCTGCTGAGGCCACATGCTCCAGCTGGGCTTGAGGGTCTCTTTCTGAGTGCCTGTGGTTCCGAGGGGTGGGTGGAGTGCATGGGTGGTGGAAGCACTGCAGCTTGCACAGAGCAGTGGCAATGCAGCTGAAGGCTCTGACAGCCCTTTCTTCCCTCCATCACTCTGTGTCCCTAGGGACAAGCTGATGCCTTGCTTTCATTGCCAAACCCTTCCGACTTGTCCTCTGTAATCTCTTTGGGACAGAAGTATTATCCTTTTAACTGCAGGGCGCTTCTGCACTGAGGGTGCTGTGACAGCACACTCATCCTGTGTGGCTTAATGCTCTGCAGTCCTGATTATGACACTGGCCCTTGGGAGCTGCTGTGTGACAAACTGCACACAAGCCAGGAGAGCTGTTCCCAGCTAGCCAGGGAAGATGGGCAATTTCTCGTTAGGGTTGTGATGCCAAACCAAAGCTAAGCAGCACAGCTGGAGTATTAAGGTTTGCCAGCAAGAGTTACTTGGGAATAGTCTGCAGAGCAAAACTAACTTGCAAAGTATATTTGGCAAATAGCAATAACCACACCTTTGAGAAAATGAGGTTGTCTGTAGACGGTAATATGACCTGCAAAAGAGGAATGATTTATCAGATGTATTATTCACTCTGCCAATGGGCAGATACCACAGAGGTTTATTAGTGTATCAGTGCTGTGACTGGCACCCAGTACTGAGGGATCATACAGTCTCTGGAGGACAAGTGGGAGACAATTGAATACATAAATTCTAGTCTCCAGAGACTGTGGAAACTAATGCTGTTGGCTGGCAGGGCTTTTTTGTTGGCTACTGATGGTAAAACTTAGGGAGCTGACAAAAGCTGAAACCACACCTACTTGGGAACGTGTCCCCAGCTGCTCAAGATGTAGAATGCTGGTAAATCCACAGATGTCTTTCAGGTAATCAGATTCCCTGGACCTGAATAATCTTTGCTTTGTTTTACAGCAGAGATGTTTAGCCTGTGATTTCCCAGACTCAAGTGTCTGTGAATGGTAACTAGGAAAATGAAGGCTCTTGTCATTAAGCTTGAAGTCACTAAAAAGATAACTGCATCTCAGCAGAGACACTTGAAGTGGCACAGATTAGAAAAGGCTGAAAATCACCCTCTGAAGCATTTATTAACAGAATCTTTGACTTTGTTCTTGTCCTTTCAAGTATTTCCTTATTGCTTAAAGGCAAGAAACAAAGTGCTTTTGAACCCAAGTTGTTATCTGTAAAATGATAGTCTTACTTCCCAGGAGGGCTGACTGAATAAATGCTCCAAGGATTGTTTATACCTCAATAATGTGGGGATAGAAAAGCAAAATCTAAACCAGACAGCTATCTAATACATATACTCTGTCTCCTTGATGATAAAAAAAAGTTGTAGACCAGAACTAAACCCTGAATTTTACTTATCCAATGGAATCATGACAGACCAACTCGTCTCCTAGAGTGACCTGGAGATGCAGACGTTTGTGTGTGGAGTGTATGGAATGGGGAGACATTTGTAATTAAGAGTCCTCACTTGCTCTTCTTACTTCCAAATGACTTGAAGATTGAAATAAAAAGTAAAAATGCTGTGATCAGATCTACTGATTATTATTCCCTAGAAGAGAAGATGGCCCCAGGACCCGATTCTGCTATACTTTTATTCTATGATTCCATTTGGGTATAAAACTATTTTTGAATTTCAATCCCTTTTTCCAAGGAAATGGCTTTTTAGACCTGGGAATTATATATTTTCCCCAGCAGTCTTAGGAAACAAAAAGATATCCCATTTGTACTGGTTTTCACCAAAGTCTGAAATTAGTTCTTAAAGAAATGGCTAAAAAAGTCAGGCATTTTTTAGTCAGCCTGCGCAGAACATGTCTCTGCTTTTCAGTTTTTGGTAGCAAAGAGAATATTGTCAGGTGCCATCATGTTGTGGCAGAATGCCTTACATTAGCCATGAGTTTCCTGTGGGTTGTTTTGGAAGGGAGAGGAAGGGGTTATGAAA